CTGCTTTTAAGGCTTAGTACAGACCTTATAAGGCCCTTATTACGGCTTGGTCATATACGGAAAAAACAACAAAATAAGAAATTGAGGGGCTCGATTTCTTAAATTTAAGAAATTGAAAGGCTCAATGTCTTATTTCGGTGGCTGTTATCAAACCCTAATAATTTTGTAGGGATCCAGAAGGGCTTAATAACGGTTGTTTAAGGCTTTGTCCTTTACGAAAACAAACCACCAAAATAAGAAATTGAGGGGCTTGATTTCTTAAACTTAAGAAATTGAGGGGCTCAACTTCTTATTTTGGGGTGCTCTGGGCTTGCCTCACAAGGGCTTTAGAAGGGCTTTATTAAGCCCTAATAACAGCTTTGGAGGCTCCAGAGGCTCGAGCTGTATACATATGGGTGGTTGTCAAAATTATGGTCCCTTTTTGGGTCCTTATTACAATACGGCACCAATTATTTAGGGTACCCCAAAAGGGACCATATTTTTGACAACGACCCATATCGACATGGTTTGAAAAAAGCTTACAGGATGCCATGCCCGAGTGGATAAGCGCATGAGCTAGAGGGGAAGCTGCTGCCGGCTCGAGCCTCTGAGTCTTCTGATTTCTTTGCGGATAACTTTGGAGCCTTTTCAAACTAAGAAATTTGGGTTAAGAACTCCAGGGGATGCTCAAATCCTGAAATCTTTTGTTATGAAAAAAAGGAGCGCTTCAAGAATAAGAAATCGAACCCGCCCTCACGAAAAATTAACGGTTTCTTAACCGGCGCTGTCGCTGTATTTCAAGCATGGGGCAGAAACAACATCATTTTCGCTGCACAGGTGATTCTACACCGGTCTTACATTGAAGCCTGTAAGCACGCAGCTCGGTGGAAAGAACGATGCCGCATGCCAAATGGAAATGCCTGGAAAAGAAAGACAGGCCTGGGGTCGAGCCCAGTCCATGCTTTCGAAGGGTTTCAAAACAATATGACAAAACTTCACAACCGCCCGCACTGTCGCATACGTTGGTGTGTTCGGACTTGGCTCACTCAGATATTCGGCTGCCACACTGATCCTTGAGATACTGAGCGGCATGACCTGATCAGAGCGAAGTCATCGTCGTAGCCGTGTGCTCGAAAGGCTTTCTGCACGTTGGGCACGATATTTTCTTCACCGACGAGAAGCACCAGCGAGCGATGCACTCCTGGTGGTAGGCGTGGCCGCAAGGGAGGAGAGCAACATCTGTGTTTAAGTGGTAATCATCCAGACAACAAGCACAGGCGCGTTGGCAAGAGATTTTGGCTGGCGGCCGGCGGTCAACTGTAGCCAGATGGCGACATACAACCAAGCACCTGTTGCTCTGATCGGATGTCACACAGACGAGGTTAAAGATTGGGCGGGCAACACATGATGCTTGCAGTTCTCGGAACTTGCAAGCTGCCCAAACGCAGTGGAACTCCTTCTGTGCAACCGCGGCGCCCGCAGAACCAGTGCCAGTGCTATCTGCTGTCTTCGTGAACACGATGACAAACAGCAGCATGAATAAAAGAACCGACATTGCTGCAGACACTCCTATCGCCCAAGATGCACCTTTGAAGATGCCCACTGACACGCTGAGAACAGAGAGGAGCATCAGGACAAGCCCCCATTGCAGGAGCTTGCGGTTGTTGCACTGAGTCGCTGCAGCCATGGCTTGTCGGCTTCGGGGTCTTATCTTCACTGGCCCTACCGTATGCTGAGAAACGGCGAGATGAACCCATGCATCAAGCATCGGAGTAGACTGCTGCGTCACAAGGAGGCTCCACTAAGATACCATGTGGATCGTAGGCTATACAATGTCAACACACTCGTCAGTCAAGCCATGTGGACCAAACGTTCTGATCCAGCTTATGCCCGAGAGTGCCGACCCAAAACATCTGAGAATCTGCACAAACTATGATCAGCATACCCCCCTAACTACACCGTATTGCTTCTGCTGCTGCTGCTGCTGCTCGTATTCCTACTGCTACGACGACGACGATGCCGACACCGACGGCAGACCACTCAGCAACTACTATATAGGTTGGTCTTGTTGTAGTATTTTGCCCCGTTGTGCCAGCCAAGGTGCAATCCTCACCGGGGCACCCTCGCTTCTCGCAGCATGCTGAAGAGCGGAGGATCGGATCTGGCAATCCAAATCGCATCACACATACCGTGCTTGAGCGTACTCTCGCCAGACTGCTTAATGGTCGCAACCTTCGAGCCTTTGCGTAAGCAAGTGGTGGTTGTTGCCAGCCAAGCTTCCCGGCTCAGAAATACTAAATTACTAAAGCTCACGAAATGCGCCCAACGCACAGGGTATCGAGTCCAGCCTTCTCAAGCAGCTCTTCCGCACCATGACACCGCATGACCTCCAGGGTGCACACGGCTCTAACGTATGATGGACCACCTCAAACAGGACATATGCAACCCACAGTTTCATTCGTGCTCCTGTTTCTTGGACGTCTCGAACCGGTATGCATGTGATAGGCCACTCGGCCAATCCTCCACGTCTCTCCAGGCGAATCTGGGTATGAACACAACCTGCTAAACCGAGCTACAAAGGGGCGGGTTTATCTTTGCGAGAATACACATGACCCGGGTATGGATGCGGCTCCAAAAACATACACAACAGTGGTGAGTATACTTCCAGTAGAGTAGATTTAGGAGATGCTAAGCCCCAGTGTGGACGCTGCTTATAGGATCCAAGTCGCCAAGCCCAATTTTCGGGATATGTAGCGGAAGCTGGGGTTTCAAGTGCTTTTCACATACTTTCCTTCCTTCCGTCTCCGTCCTCCCAACAGGCTTGCACGCAGTGCTTTTGTCTTACCCTGCACCCTCCGCCTTGAGTTGCAGGGACTTCACAAGCAGAGGCTCAAGACATCACAGCTCTTCATAAACGATGCCACAAGCACCCGCTTGACACAAACACACACACACACACACACAACAGCACCAGTGGCATCACAACAAATCACATCACATCCAAGTTAGCCATTACCCATGGTCGCTCAGTTCCACAGGCACCCGCTTAAGACACACGCCATCAATCAAAACCAGCAATTCCGCATGTAGATGCTAGTTCCGCAAGCATCTGCTCGAGACCCACAGAAGTGATCAATATTCTTGGCACCGCAGCATATCAAAAGCAGCAATTCCCCATGCACATGCTCGATTCCACAATCACACATCAGTGGCATCACAACACATCAGAACCAGAACCAGCCATTCTCCATGTACTGTAGACGCTCCATGAAATCGAATGCGACGCCTGTATATGGCACGATGCAGCTCATTTGCGGCGATCAACCGGCAGCGCTGGAGTGCCAGAAGTGTCTGACGGCATCCGTTCGTCAATCCTTTGGTGGTGGAGTGTGCTTCGGCGAGAACTGCTTTGGTAGCTGCCTTCCGACTATACCCAATGCCGAAAAGACCTCCAGTGAAACAGCTGCACTTACCGGCTCATCTGCTTCCGTTTGCAGGCGACTTGTCTTGAGTCTTCGTCGCTAGTCTCGCATATCAGCTTGACTCGCAGTGTTCAGGAGATGAAGACAAACTGAAGTCCGCGGACGGAAACGAGGACTCCTTGTGTGCGATGGAGATGCAACATGAGCCAGCCAGCAATTCACGGACATTTGCGAAACCTGCAGGTGCTGAGGATGTCGTGAGCCCAAGCCCAAGTAATGGCGAAAAGCACGTCATGTCTCCGCACATGCAGATCACCGCGGCGAGTGCTAAACGAATGTGAGTTTGGGTCCGTCTTACAGCGGGGGAGTGCGCATCAATGGCGACGATGGTACTGGAAGGGTGTGGTCGCTGGGAAGTACCTTTTCTCGAAGTTGCGCTGCGGCTAAACAAGGAACCAGGTACTGTCGTTGCACCGGGATCGAAGCACCGGCAAGATGCGTTCCACGTGTCGCCTTTTCGGAAAGTTCTCTTTGGCCTTGCGGCATCACATGTCTCTTGGGCAAAACAAGCCAAACAAGCATGCGGCCCGGACAGTCTTTATGCAGAACCACGCAGACGCAGGGGCCCGCCACGTGTTGTTGGTGGAGTCGGAGTGCATCAAAAGGCGTGTATGACGATGGCATTGCGCCGATTCTGCTTGCCCACTGTTCGCGGCTGCACCGAATTGTTTCAGCGTTGCCAATGTGGACGGGATACTCGGCCAAGTCTGGCTCTTGGTTGAAGTGGCTCGACAGACCCTTACTCGCCCACGAGTCTTCGCGATTCCCAGCCCTGAGGCCGCACCACTCGCTGAAGTCTCTCGCCGCATGCAGCTACGCAGATCAATCATCAGAGCCGGAAACTTGTGAGAAAGTCACGTGACATAATCGCGTTTCCGTCATGCCACAGCGGTGAAATTGCTGTCGCTGCGGTTGCGAAAGAGAGTCGTCTAGGCGGGCTTGAGCTTGCGACCCTCTGTCTTGAAAAACCTCGGTCACTATCGGTGTTCATAGCGAATTCCGCAATGAAACGAGCTCATGAATACTTGGACGTTCTTTCGGACAAATCAACACTACTCTGCGGAAGTCCCAGTCCAGCGACGAAGCCCTGAGCCCTTTGCAATCCCACCCGCAAACACTAAACTATACGCACAGCTGCTTCGAGCCTCGGAGCGCAGTCGGGCATCCAAGCCTTTGGGGCTCAGAGTGCACGACCCCCGCTTCGTCTCACGACTTGGCGAAGACAGTCGTGCCAAGGTGTTGAGATTTTTTTCACTCTCGCATGAATGAGGTCTATACTTGTGTTGAGATTTTCGGGTAAAGGCTGTTGAAGAGGACGGAGACACTCGTGGGCGCTTCTTCATTGAGCCTCCTTTTGCTAGTAGGTGTACACCCACACCCACCCACACAAACCCGTGAAACGAAAGCGACTCCTGTCATGCTTTCACTAGCTGCATAATAGGTTCATCTGGGCAGCAACACTCTGTTCCCGAGTCCCGTCCGAGAAGCAAGCGCTCACGTGAGACTCTAGTCAAGTACAGGGTCTGAAAAGACTTGGGTTCAACCAGTTAACCGTAGGCCCGTAGGTGACACGCGCAACGGTGGTGGCTCGATCGGGCCACAGTGCGACAAAGATTCCTGGGAACCTGCACCCGTGCCTGTGAGATGCCGCCTGGGACCGCGGTCTGGATTTTCCAAGCCTGGCCGTCCCGTCTCGAGCCCCGAGCTGTTTGTCCGAAAATACTACCGGTCGTAAGGATTATTGGCTGCTGCTGCTTCTGATTATTCTTATTATTGCTACGACAACTACCACCACCACCACCACCAAGAGACGACGACGACGACTACTGCTACTAGTACTACTACGTACTACGACTGCTGCGACGACGACGACGACTACTACTACCCCCACTACTACTACTGCTAGTTCCTTGTGCTACTACTACTGCGACTGACTACCAGTCTACTGCCGCTATCAGTACACTTACTGCTGCTGCTGCTACTGCTACTGCTACTACTACTACTACTACTACTACTACTCCTACTGCTAATACTAATACTAATACTAATACTAATACTAATACTAATACTAATACTAATACGAATACTAATACTAGTACTAGTACTAGTACTAATACTACTACTACTACTACTACTACTACTACTACTACTGCTACTACTGCTACTACGGCTACTGCTACTGCCACTCCTCTTCCTTGTACTGATACGGTTGCGGCTACGGCTATTGCTCCTGCTTCTGTAATGCAACTACTCTAAAGCAACTAAGTAGACGGCTCGTAGTACGCCGCGTGCAGAGGATTCGTAGGGCGGTGTTGTGTGCTTTTTGCAGTGGTGCATAATCCGAATACACCGCGGCGTAATACACACCGCGGTCGAACTACTACGACGACGACTGCTGCAATTCTGCTTTTGCGACTACTACGACTGCTCGACTACTCTACTACTCACGCACCTCCTCTGCTACTTCTCCAACGACTACGGCTACTGCATCTGGACGTGCACGTGCTGCTGCTACCGCAACTGATGGTGCTGTAGCTCATTACTGTCTCTCCAACTCCTACTCCGACCGCTGCTCCTCTCCTACTCCTACTCTGCTCCTACCCCTAGTGCTACACCTGCTCCCTCTGATGCTAGAGTTACTGCTGATCATGCAATGGGTTAGTCTCTTGTGACCACTGCTGCTACAACTACGAGAACTGCCACTGCTAATACTGCTGCTGCTGCTGCCACTTCTCCTACTACTACTACTACTACTACTGCTACTACTACTACTACTGCTACTATTACTGCTGCTACTACTACTACTGCTGCTGCTGCTGCTACTACTACTACTACTAATACTACGACTACTACTACTGCTGCTACTACTACTACTACTACTACTACTACTGCTAGTTCTAGTACTACCATGATTTACTCCTACTACCACTACTGCGGCTGCTTCTACTACTACCACCACTGCCACTACTACTACAACGACGACGACTGCTACTGCTACCGCTACTGCTACTAGTGCTACTAGTGCTTCTACTACTGCCACCACCACTACGACTACGACTACCACTGCCACTAGCACTACACCACCACCACCAAGTACCGCTACAACTACTGCCACTGCTACTAGTATTACTATCACTGCTACTGCTGCTACTACTACTACTTCTGCTATTATACTACTACTACTATACTACTACTACTACTACTACTACTACGACGACGACGACGACTACTAATACTACTACTACTACTACTACTACTACTAGTACTACTACTGCTACTAATGGTTGGACAGACAGTAGTTGTCGTTATTGTCGTCATCATCTTCGTCGTGCTATATCTCGGCGCCTTTATGTCCAGCCTTCTCAGAAGCCGCGCACCTGAGCCTGACCCTCACTCCGAAAGCAAATCAACTCTCCAATTGCGAATGACTTTCAACATCTAAATGTCGCAGGCTAATTTTCGGTTGAGGCGTCCTCAGTGTGTCAGGCCAGCCTCGAGCATCGAAGTGCTGATCTGCGGGTGGCTGTCCGGCTCCCCTGGGCACTTCAGGGCTTCCGCTCAAACATGCGCACCGAAAGCATTTAGGTTGCTGAGGAGGCATGTCGCAGCTGGATTCGTGGTTGTTTACGTCTCCTCCTACTGTTGTTACGGTCGCAGTTGTTGCGCTTCTCGCGTCTTGCTGTTATTGTTAATATTTTGGGGGCCGCGGAGGCTGCTGGTGCATGTGACTGTGCAGGTGCTGGCGACAGTGATAGTGCATTGACAGTGCTGCTAGCTGTCAGTGCACCAATTACTAGCACTACCAAAAACTCATGCATAGAGATACCACCCTTACCAGCAAGTCTGAAACCAAGTGCTACTAAGCGCTGCTACAGCTGCTATCAAGTTTCTTAAGTCTTGCGTTTAGTGACACTTTTTCTCAAACCCCAACCTAGACTTAACTGCACACTGCCATGTGCCCATCCGTTGGTGGCACTTTTTGTAGGCAAACGTTGCAGGGCGAACCATACCACTACCACTCGCCTCCTACGACTACTGCTGCTGCTACTACT